GATATTTCTCCAGGAAATCATGTATTTCTCACGAAACGTATTGCATTAACACATGTTTTGCTATACACATGTTTATTCCCTTTGTGTGTATTGGGACAAAACAAAAAAAGGGAGGAAAGAAAGCAAATTCGACATAATGTCACACAAACCTCCAAAAATGGGCTGGACAAAAGTATTGGCACCCTTTCACAACTGCGGATAAATAAGAATGTTACAAGCATGTGATGCTCCTGTAAACTCACCTGGGGCAAGTAACAGGTGTGGGCAATATAGAAATCACACCTGAAAGCAGATAAAAAGGAGAGACGTTCACTTAACTTTGCATTGTGTGTCTGTCTGTGCCACACTAAGCATGGACAACAGAAAGAGGAGACGAGAACTGTCTGAGGACCTGAGAACCAAAATTGTGGCAAAATATCAACAATCTCAAGGTTACAAGTCCATCTCCAGAGAACTAGATTTGCCTTTGTCCACAGTGCGCAACATTATCAAGAAGTTTGCAACCCATGGCACTGTAGCTAATCTCCCTGGTCGTGGACGGATGAGGAAAATTGATGAAAGATTGCAACGCAGAATAGTCCGGATGGTGGATAAGCAGCCCCAAACATGTTCCAAAGACATTCAAGCTGTCCTGCAGGCTCAGGGAGCATCAGTGTCAGCGCGAACTATCCGTCGACATTTAAATGAAATGAAACGCTATGGCAGGAGACCCAGGAGGACCCCACTGCTGACACAGAGACATAAAAAAGCAAGACTACAGTTTGCCAAAATGTACTTGAGTAAGCCAAAAGCCTTCTGGGAAAACGTCTTGTGGACAGATGAGACCAAGATAGAGCTTTTCGGTAAAGCACATCATTCTACTGTTTACCGAAAACGGAATGAGGCCTACAAAGAACAAAACACAGTACCTACGGTAAAATATGGTGGAGGTTCAATGATGTTTTGGGGTTGTTTTGCTGCCTCTGGCACTGGGTGCCTTGACTGTGTGCAAGGCATCATGAAAATCTGAGGATTACCAAAGGATTTTGGGTTGCACTGTAGGGCCCAGTGTCAGAAAGCTGGGTTTGCGTCCAAGATCCTGGGTCTTCCAGCAGGACAATGACCCCAAACATATGTCAAAAAGCACTCAGAAATGGATGGCAAAGAAGCGCTGGAGAGTTCTGAAGTGGCCAGCAATGAGCCCAGATCTAAATCCCATTGAACACCTGTGGAGAGATCTTAAAATTGCTGTTGGGAAAAGGTGTCCTTCCAATAAGAGAGACCTGGAGCTGTTTGCAAAGGAAGAGTGGTCCAAAATTCCGGGTGAGAGGTGTCAGAAGCTTATTGATGGTTATAGGAAGCGACTGATTTCAGTTATGTTTTCCAAAGGGGTGTGCAACCAAATATTAAGTTAAGGGTGCCAATACTTTTGTCCAGCCCATTTTTGGGGTTTTGTGTGACATTGTCATATTTGCTTTTCTGCCTCTGTTTTATATTTGTTCCAATACATACAAAGGGAATAAACATGTGTATAGCAAAACATGTGTTAATGCAATACCTTTTTTGTGTGAAATACTTGATTTTCAGGAAAAATATCAAGGGTGCCAACAATTTCGGCCATGACTGTATGTTCCACCCTGAAAATGGTAAACTTATAATTTAACTAAATATATTCCAGCCACATTAAAACAAAAAAAGTTAAATATCTTACAGTTTGTTTTCTTTCTAAAGCAGCCACAGCCTGGGCAGAAAAGTGTCCTGTCAGCGGCTGCAGAGTGGAACCCTTGTTCTGTATGGGGAAGGAGTAGGGGTCTTTCTGCGGAGGTCTGAGTTCTGCAGTCATAAATCTCATACTCTATAATTGGAGAGCTCTGGCTTTGACTCAGCAGCATGTGTGTTGGACCCCTGCAGAGAGATCACTGAGTCCCATTCTGCAGCAAGATGGCAGGGGACAGACTTTTTTATTCAAGCTGTGAATAATTTAATAAAAAATACTCTAGGCTGGGGGTCTGTAACCAGTAGATCGTGGCCAAGTGACTGGTAGATCACAGTATGGCTTGCTGACCCGCCAACCCAGAGCATCAAACAGAGTGCAATGCAGAGGGACTACTTGTAAAGTTGGAGGTGTAGTAGGGAGCAAGAGCTGCATAAGCTGATGCCTCCTCTGTAGTGATGGCTTCTGTCCCATGCGGAGTGATACCAACTGCATTCCGCCTCTTATCCCAGCTAGAAGTCTCCAGAGTGGTGCCAGCATCAGGAAAGAAGAGATCTTCAGATCAGTGTGAAGCAATACACTGGGCATAACAGTATAGGGCTGCTTTCACACTGATGTGCTGCGGTTTACCCACACCGCGGGTGCAGTGCAATGTACTTGCAGCTATCCTCCGGGTTTGCTGTGCTTAGCCATAGATTTCTATTATATCCTGCAGATTTGATGCACTTTCTGAAAGCACACCGAAACTCCTGAATGCGGGCATTTTTGGTGAGCTTTCAGAAAGTGCACCACACGTGCAGGATGTAATAGAAGCCTATGGTAAAGTTAACCCAGGAAAGTCACAGATGCACTGTGCTGCACCCGCAGTGCAGGTAAACCTCAGCACATCAGTGTGAAAGCAGCCTTATATGGGGCTCAAAACAGTTAGGGTTCATTTACATTTGCAGTTTGGTGATGGTAAAAAACCCATAGTTAAGACATGTTTTACCACCCCCTTCCCAACCAGACCCCCTTTAACTGCAGTGGCCACTGGCATACACATGTTGCAGCTGCAGCAGGAGTTATATGCCCTGTCATGGTTGGTTGGTTATTCAAGTGAATGAGGCCTCTTTGTAAGTGCCCTGCAACTTTGTGCAGTACCGCAGACAAGGGGTTAAAGCAGGCAGTGTTGTGTTGCTTTTTCACCACTTGATTTAACCCGTTGGACCTTGCAGAAGCATGGAGTTGCTGGGTGCTTGCAGAGTGGCCTTAATTACTTGAATGGTTCTCGATTGGCAAGCAGTAGCACCCACCAAAAGCAGCAGGGGGTTTAATTCCTTCTCTGGCATATGTAAACCTTTTTGGCTGCTAAAGGGGATAGGGATTAGGGGCGGTAAAACCGCAACTCAACTGCTGGGTTTTTACGACCATGGGGTTTAATTCTTGCTGCGGTATGTGTAAACCTTTGGCTGCTAAAGGGGGTAGGGATTAGGGTCCGTAAAACCGCAAATCAGCCACAGGGTTTTACTACACCCCCCCATCAACTTTGGGCTCATTCATAAGTGCAGTAGGAGATATGTCGCCTCTTCCCCACCTTAAACCCATGATCGCCGAGCAATGCACGCAGCTGCAAAATGAAAGTATGACAATTAGAGGTTTAAATCAGATGTGAGGAGGCAATGCTGTGCCCGGTGATCTTTGACTTCTCATGTTGTTCAGGTAGATCTTTACCTCTTTAAGATTGCCTACCCCTGGTCTAGGCAGATATAAAAGAAACAAACGAAGGCAGCTCTGTAGTCATTAGTACATCATTAAATGTTTAAATATGAGCAGTGTAAGTACCTAAATTTGACCTGGTATCTGTCCCTTGAAGTCCCTATACAACAGGGCTGCAGCGTGAGAGGAAGAAGCAGCACAAAGAGATCAGTGCATTGTTCTATAAAATGAGCATGCTGATAGCTGGAGAAAGCAGACTGATAGCCTCGTGTGGGTTTATAACAATCTGACCCCAGAGGAAGCGGGTTGAATGATACTGGTCATCAGACTGAGGACATCTCATTGCAGAGAAAAAGTACTGCAGGGGAAATCTCCGGATTAAAGGTGAATATTGCAGCTATAGCTGGTTTTGTTATATCTTTTAATAGGCTATTCATTTTCATTTTATTTTTGGCTGGAGTTCTACTTTAGGAAAACAAAATGTAAGATTTTGCACATCTTTGTTTTGAGGCACCTGAAATGTATTTAGCTAATTTAACCGCCTCTCGCCCGCCATATAGTAATATGATGGACGCAAGGTGGTTCTCTCATTCTGGGAGGACGTCATATGATGTCCTCCCACTCTAACCGTGCATGCATGGCTCCCGGAGCGCGGCAATCAGCGGTGCGCTGTGTCCCTCGGACACAGCGGATCACCGATCCACGGAAAGAGCCGAAGATGTCGGTTCGGTCATGTGATCAGCTGTGTCCAAACACAGTTGATCATATGTCAACAGGGAAATGCCGGTTATCTGCATTTCTCTCCACATGAGCTGTCAGGCTGACAGCTCGTGAGGAGAAGAGAGCCGGTCATCGGTATTCCTCGGAGGGGACATGTACACAGATCATCAAAGCACTGATGATCAGTGTGCCCTGATGATCTGTGTAGCCCCAGCAGTGCCACCTGTCAGTGTCCATCAATGCCATTTCTCAGTGCTCATCCATGCCACCTGCCAGTGCCACATTTCAGTGCCCATCAGTGCCACATCAATGCCACATAGTGCCCACCTGAGCTGTCTTTCAGTGCCGCCTTCAGTGCATCAGTGCCTATCAGTGTGCATCAGTGCCGCCTATCAGTGTGCATCAGTGCCAGTCAGTGCTGCCTAACAGTGCCATATATGAGTGCTGCATTTCAGTGATGCCTGTCAATGCCCATCAGTGCCACCTACCAGTGCCTCCTCATCAGTGTCCATCAGTGCTCATCAGTGCAGCCTCATTAGCGCACATCAGTGAAGGAGAAAAATCACTTATTTACAAAATTTTATAACAAAAACTACGAAAAAAAAATTGTTTTTCAAAATTTTCAGTGGTTTTTGGTTTAAGAAAAAATAAAAAACCCAGAGGTGATTAAATACCACCAAAATAAAGCTCTATCTGTCACAAAAAAATTATAAAAATTTCATATGGGTACAGTGTTGCATGACCGTGCAATTGTCATTCAAAGTGCAACAGCGCTAAAAGCTGGAAATTGGCCTGGGCAGGAAGGGGGTATAAGTGCCCTGTAGGCTAGTGGTTAAAGTGTTCCTAAACCCAGGACCTTGAATTCACTATATCTGGTCTCCCCAGACCTTGCATTCAATATATCCGGTCTCCTACAGTACATAACATAACATGGAAATGCAATTATTTTAGTAAATATAAACTGCTAAATACCTTTTCTCATCAGCAATTAGAGCAGTCTTGTGACTTCAGCAGAGCACTGATTAAAGCTTGTAGGAGGAGTTTTCTTTCTGCTCTAGGAGGATATGAAACCTCTAACCCTCTGTCTGGACAGCGCTGATTGGCCCTGTGCTGATCACATACACCCTCCCAAGAAAAAAAAAAAAAACTCTCTGGCAATACACACCAAACTGAGCATATGCATGTGACTACAGATTCAGTCTGTATCAGGTGGACATTTCAACAAGAGGAGGGGCAGAGACGTCATGATCAAACAGCATTTTTACACCATGCAGAGAATTAACCCCTTAGGTTCCACAGTGAGTATAACAAGCATGCTTTACTGCATATACAGACTGATTTTACTGTTGTGGGTTTAGTAACACTTTAAGCTGAAGAATAAAAAGACAATTAAGTGAACAGGAGAGAGAATTCAAATTTTGGGGAATAACTGGATGTAAGAAAGTTTGAATTTATAATTGACAGCAGTGGGAAATTATGTGAACATGTCCAGTGTTTTTAGTTATCTTTAGCTACACGTTACAACACCTTTAATAAGATTGTGAACAGTGCCAACTGCTGGCTATGTAAATGAATACAAGCACTTCGGGTATCAAGTAAATTGTGCGTTCATTTCTTCCTAACTGGGAACCTAAGCACCATCCACTAATGGCAGGGCCTTCTTAATCGCATCATGGGCCCCTGGGCAAAGTAATGCCCTGGGGCCCCTACCAGTCTGCACCAATTTACGCACCTACTTTCAAGAATTAAAGTATAAATAGTTGATAGAATTAAACAATTATTAGTACTATTAAATAGAATTGATTCTACCCACTTGCCCTCCAGAGGATTTACCCCCCCCCCCCCCCCCCCCCCTGTCCAGGCCATTTTTTGCAAGACAGTGCTGCGTTACTTTAACTGACAATTGAGCGATCATACAACACTGTACATAAAATTACATTTCTTTTTTTTTTTTAGCTTTCTTTCCGTGGTATTTGATCATCTGTGCATTTTTATTTTTTTGCACTATAAACAAAAGAAAAACATCAATCTTTTTGCTATAAAACTTATCCAGTAAAAAAAAATTAAAAAGTATTTTGTCATAAATTTAGGCCATAATATATTCTGCTCCATGTCTTTTCTAAAAAAAAAATCCCAATACGTGTAAATTAATTGGTTTACGTGAAAGTTATAGCGTCTACAAATGGCGCTATATATACTGAAATTTATGGGTGGGGTGGGGGATTCAGAAGGGCAGAGTACACGGGGGGGTGGGGGAGGCAGAAGGGCAGAGTACACGGGGGGGGGGGGGAGGCAGAAGAGAAGAGTACAGGGGGGGGGGGGGAGGCAGAAGGGCAGAGTACGGGGGGGGAGGCAGAAGGGCAGAGTACAGGGGGGGGGGCAGGCAGAGAGCAGAGTACAGGGGGGGGAGGCAGAAGAGCAGAGTACGAGGGGGGGTGGGGGAGGCAGAAGGGCAGAGTACGGGGGGGGTGGGGGAGGCAGAAGGGCAGAGTACGGGGGGGGAGGCAGAGGGCAGAGTACGGGGGGGTGGGGTAGGCAGAAGGGCAGAGTACGGGGGTTGGGGTAGGCAGAAGGGCAGAGTACGGGGGGGTGGGGGAGGCAGAAGGGCAGAGTACGGGGGGGGGGGGGAGGCAGAAGGGCAGAGTACGGGAGGGTGGGGGAGGCAGAAGGGCAGAGTACGGGGGGGTGGGGGAGGCAGAAGGGCAGAGTACGGGGGGGGGAGGCAGGCAGAAGAACAGAGTACGGGGGGGGGGGATTCAGAAGAACAGAGTATGGGGGGGTGGGGGAGGCAGAAGGGCAGAGTACAGAGGGGGGGAGGCAGAAGGGCAGAGTACAGGGGGGGAGGCAGAAGGGCAGAGTACAGGGGGTGGAGGCAGAAGGGCAGAGTATAGGAAGAGGGGATGGGGGAGGCAGAAGGGCAGAGTACAGGGGGGGGGGTGGGGGAGGCAGAAGGGCAGAATACAGGGGGGGGTGGGGAGGCAGAAGGGCAAAGTACGGGGGGGGGAGAAGGGCAGAGTACAGGGGTTTGAGGGAGGCAGAAGATCAGAGAACAGGGGGGTGGGGAAGACAGAAGGGCTTAATACATGGGGCTGGGGGAGGCAGAAGGACAGAGTACAGGGGGAGTCAGGAGGGCACAATACTGTGATCATGAGGGCACAGTACAGGATCTTGGAGGCTGCCTGGGCCATCCCGATACAGCTTAGTTAAAAGTGTGACTGTCCTGGCAGATCCGGGACAGTTGGCAAGAATGATGTAAGGCAAGATTATCATGTGGCCCCTATGCGCCTGGGGCCCCTGGACAGTACCCAGTGGTGCTCATCCATTAAGACACCCCTGACTCATGGTACAAAGCCCTGCTTATGCTATGTTCCAAGTCTAATGACAATGCCTTATTAGCTAGCAAAGTGCTCTTCATTATTGGACAGTGAATATCACGAGATTATGGCAAAAGTTTGCTTTTTGGTTAAAAGCATTGGAGTTAGTAGGGAATGTAAAATTAATGTGGTTTAAGGCTCCATTCACACTTCTGCGACTTCAAAATTGTGCAATTTTCATTGTGACATTACAGTGAAACGTGATGCAACTTTGATGCTCCTTTGGATAAGTGTGCCTTTGGTGCGACTTTGGCTTTGACCAAGGATGATGGTTTGTGCTCTATAATGTTGCATGTATATCATTCAGGTGCAACTTTTATGCGATATTGGAGGGTTTAAATTGAAGTCTACGGCCCTCAACTACTTTCTAATCGCTGCGACTTCAAGTCGCACAAATATGAATGGTACTCATTGGGAAACATGGGGTGTGATTTTGTCATGCAGCTTTTTTACCCTGAAGTCGCATGACAACTCGCATAAGTGTGAATGGAGCCTTAGTGTTTAAAGTTGTTGTAAACCTCAGACATGAAATATGACCAAAACATATCCCTCTATAGCAGCGGTTCTCAACCTGGGGGTCGCACGACCATTTCCCAGGGGTCGCCTAAGACCATCGGAAAACACATATTTCCGATGGTCTTAGGAACCGAGACACCGCTCCTGTCTCAGGCGATGTGTGGGCGGGATGATATGCTGCCCCTGTCACCTGGCCACACCTCCGGGATCACTCAACAGCTCCGCCTCCTCGCTGCTGATTGGCCACCGGAACTGTAGCTCAGGAGAGGCACACAGGCGGCCAATCACCGGCGAGGAGGTGGAGCTTGGAGAGGAGGAACCGAGCGGCAGCGCGTGTAGATCAAAGAAGATCGAGGGAGCTGCCGGAGCAAGTGAAGAGGAGAGCGGCCAGAGAAGGAAGACAGCTGACAGGTAAGTGCAAATTTTGCTGCTGCAGCCAGGTATGCAGGCTGTAGATGGGAGAGGGAGAGAGCGAGCCCAGGCTGGAGCAGGAGTCAGCAAGGTAAGTATCACTGGTGTCAGTGGGAGGGATAGTGCCCCATCATTTGTGTCACTAATACCAACGATGGGGCACTATTTCTCCCACACATACACCAACGATGGGGCACTATTCCTCCCCCCACTGACACCAACGATGGGGCACTATTCCTCCCCCCCCACTGACTGACACCAACGATGGGGCACTATTCCTCCCCCCACTGACACCAACCATGAGACACTATTCCTCCCCCACTGACACCAACGATGGGGCACTATTTTTCCCCCCACTGACACCAACGATGGGGCACTATTTTTTCCCCCCACTGACACCAACGATGGGGCACTATTTTTCCCCCCACTGACACCAACGATGGGGCACTATTCCACTGACACCAACGATGGGGCACTATTCCTCCCCCCACTGACACCAACGATGGGGCACTATTCCTCCCCCCACTGACACCAACGATGGGGCACTATTCCTCCCCCCACTGACACCAACCATGGGGCACTATTCCTCCCCCCACTGACACCAACCATGGGGCACTATTCCTCCCCCCACTGACACCAACCATGGGGCACTATTCCTCCCCCCACTGACACCAACCATGGGGCACTATTCCTCCCCCCACTGACACCAACCATGGGGCACTATTCCTCCCCCCCACTGACACCAACGATGGGGCACTATTCCTCCCCCCACTGACACCAACGATGGGGCACTATTCCTCCCCCCACTGACACCAACGATGGGGCACTATTCCTCCCCCCACTGACACCAACGATGGGGCACTATTCCTCCCCCCACTGACACCAACCATGGGGCACTATTCCTCCCCCCACTGACACCAACCATGGGGCACTATTCCTCCCCCCACTGACACCAACGATGGGGCACTATTCCCCCCCCACTGACACCAACCATGGGGCACTATTCCTCCCCCCACTGACACCAACCATGGGGCACTATTCCTCCCCCCACTGACACCAACGATGGGGCACTATTCCTCCCCCCACTGACACCAACGATGGGGCACTATTCCTCCCCCCACTGACACCAACGATGGGGCACTATTCCTCCCCCCACTGACACCAACGATGGGGCACTATTCCTCCCCCACTGACACCAACGATGGGGCACTATTCCTCCCCCCACTGACACCAACGATGGGGCACTATTCCTCCCCCCACTGACACCAACGATGGGGCACTATTCCCCCCCCCACTGACACCAACGATGGGGGCACTATTCCTCCCCCCACTGACACCAAGAATGGGGCACTATTCCTCCCCCTGACCCCAATGATGGGGCACTATTCCCCCCTCCACCACACTGACATCAATGATGGGGCACTATTCCTCCCACTGACACCAATGATGGGGCACTACTCCTTCCACTGACACCAACGATGGGGCACTATTCCTCCCACTGACACCAACGATGGGGCACTATTCCTCCCACTGACACCAACGATGGGGCACTATTCCTCCCACTGACACCAACGATGGGGCACTATTCCTCCCACTGACACCAACGATGGGGCACTATTCCTCCCACTGACACCAACGATGGGGCACTATTCCTCCCACTGACACCAACGATGGGGCACTATTCCTCCCACTGACACCAACGATGGGGCACTATTCCTCCCACTGACACCAACGATGGGACACTATTCCTCCCACTGATACCAACGATGGGACACTATTCATCCCACTGACACCAATGATGTGGCACTATTCCTCCCACTGACACCAACGATGGGACACTATTACTCCCACTGATACCAACGATGGGACACTATTCATCCCACTGACACCAATGATGTGGCACTATTC